ATCTATACTAGAGAATGTGATATATATGCTATATATAATGTATATATACCAGAAAATGTTATACATTTTTGACAAGTGTTACTTCTTTCTGCTAGAGCTGGATTATTTCCCAGTGATTCCTTTTCCCAGCCCCACCCCAACTCCAACCCATACTGAGTGTAATATGGCATCAGCTGTGGCATATGCCTGTGTGAGGTAAATAATTTTTTTTTTAAATTGGATTTCTTGTTTCCTCCTCAGTTCACTCAAAAAGAGATCAAATGATAGATTCCACTTCCACTAAGACTACGTGCAATGTTCTCAACTGCTTTCCCATGAAGGCAGCTAGGCCATTTAAAAGCTACTACTTATTTTTATTTGAGTTTTTTCTTTTTTACTATTCTATATTTGATCATCATAATAATCCTGCAGAACAGGCACTACTGTACTCATTTCTCATATGAAGAAACTGAAGTGTACAAAATTTAACTAACTTGCTTATAATGAAAGGCTAGTAAGAAGCATATCCAGAGAAATCACTCTCCCAAGTGTTTATAAAAGTGCTAAGTGGAGGAGCATATGGGTACTGATTACGTCCTGGAAATGTTTCCTTTTAAGTCAATGAAATTCAGTAAATGGATTTAATGATATGGGAGCCATGACATTAAGTGGCTTCTTTATCTTCAGGAGAGTGATTATTAGGGACGTTTCCTTTATCATATTTGTATGTGTGCACATCTGCCAAATTTACACACATGAGACATAAGCAAATTAACCTTGCTTCAGCAGGCTTTTTCTGTTACAGTTGGAATGATAACTTCTGTATGGACCCCAGGACAAAATTCCTGAGTCCTTGTGGGGATGGGGGACAGCACATACTATGAATCACTCACAGAGCAAAACTCTGTGTGGCAAGGGCTCCTTTGTTCCTGACTGCAGCAGAGTGGCCCAGCAGCCATTATGTCATCTGTCATTTGACCTCTCTGAATAAACTGAAGAGGGAACAAGGAATCCCATGTTTTAAAAATATCTTCTTATTTTTTTGAATAAGTATATGTCACAAATAATATGCTGTTTACTACATTTTAAGTAATTGAATAGCACATTGACTTTTACATATATGATCTTTGTAAAAATAGATTATTTGAAATTATTAATGTGAGGGTACTAGGTATTATTATGTCCCCTGCCTACAAAATAATTAGAAAATAATAACTCTATCTTAACACCAGTTCCAAAGATTCCCCCAAAGAAAACTTGGTGGAGCATTAATTCTTGAATAACAGCTTCTTAGGTCTATAAATATTCACAAACTCCACCTTTATACATAACATTTTAATACATTACCTATGCTTTAAGTTTTTTGTCTATTCTATATTTAATCATCACAATAATCCTGCAGAACAGGAACTACTGTACCCATTTCTCATATGAAGAAACTGAGGTGTACAAAATTTAACTAACTTGCTTAGAATCCATGGCTGGTAAGAAGCATAGCCAGAGAAATCACATTCCCAAGTGTTTATAAAGGTGCAAAGTAGAAGAGCACTTGGATACTGATAGTGCCCTAGCAATGTTTGTTTTCAAGCCAATGAAATTCAGTAAATGGATTTAATGATATGGGAGCCAGGATACTAAGTGGCTTCTTTATCTTCAGGAGAGTCATTACCAGGGACGTTCCCTTTAGCATATTTGTATATGTGCACATCCACCAAATTTACACACATGAGACATAAGCAAATTAACCTTGCTTCAGCAGGCTTTTTCTGTTACAGTTGGAATGATAACTTCTGTATGGACCCCAGAACAAAATTCCTGAGTCCTTGTGGGGATGGGGGACAGCACATACTATGAATCACTCACAGAGCAAAACTCTGTGTGGCAAGGGCTCCTTTGTTCCTGACTGCAGCAGAGTGGCCCAGCAGCCATTATGTCTTCTGTGTCATCTGTCATTTGACCTCTCTGAATAAACTGAAGAGGGAACAAGGAATCCATGTTTTAAAAATATCTTATTTGTTATTTTTCTTGAATAAGTATATGTCACAAATAATATGCTGTTTGCTATATTTTAAGTAACTGAATAGCACATTGACTTTTAGGTATATGATCTTTGCTAAAAATAGATTATTTGAAATTATTAATGTGAGGGTACAGATATCATTATGTTCCTTGCCTACAAAATAATCAGAAAATAATAAATTTACCTTAATACCAGTTCCAAAGATTCCCCCAAAGAAAACTTGGTGGAGCATTAATTCTTATATAATAGCTGATTAGGTCTATAAATATTTATAAACTCCACTTTTATGTATATAGAATTTTAAAATACCACCTATGCTTCAAGCTTTTTGCCCAGACTATATTAGATCCTCACAACAATTCTATAAAAGAAGTGCTATTATACCCATTTCTCATATGAAGAAACTGAGGTAAAGAGAATTTAAATAACTTATACCATATGGCTGGTAGGAAGCAAAGTCAGGATTTTAATTGTCCTTTATCTGCCTCCCCAGCCCACTTTTTCTACTGACACTTGATTCACTATATTCATAAAACTTAATTACTATTGTCTGGTTTGAAATACTATTTGAGTAAAACATGATATTTCATGTGGTTGGGCAGTGTACATTAAGGATAAAATTTCCAGAGTTCCCCAGGTTCAGCTTAGAAACACCTTCCGGACAGCTTAGCCACTACCAAAGCTGTTTTGAGATTTTAGTATCAGTATGGTCTTTGAAAATGCTCCATCAAGTCCCAATTTTTGATTGCTTTGTTTACCTGAGATCTTCTTTTCCCACATGGATGAGGAAATAGGTGAAACAAGGAATCACATAAGGGAGAGTTAATGTTAAATTATGGGAGGCTGAGGCACTTTCAGAAAGTAGAATAAGAAACACTGAGACTGGCAGCCTCTTGATAAAATAGCTAATTTATGCTCCCATCTGCCCCTCCTAGCTGAACTATCTAGACTTACATGCCTTATATACATTGCTACATGAAGCTGGTCAACCTGCTCCTGTGTAGGGGTAGAGACAGCAGGGGAAGTCAAGCTCTAGAAATTACCATTTGAGTTTCACCCCTTGTTTTACAAATTTATACCTACTAAGTTTTCCCTTATTTACCTCTTAAGTATGAGAAAATTTGTGATCTGAAAATTAAATCAGTATTTTTAAATATGCTTAGAACATGAAATCAATTCTGTAAATGTGCTTGGCTTTGTTGGATAGTCATGGCAGTCTGAAAATCCTGGGACTCAAGCTCCCATTATATTTTTTCAGCTATCTTAGCCAAGAGCCAAGGTAAGTGTACTCTGCAGTTTGCGTATTGTTATGTATTATTCTATACAAATCAATTACATCAAGTACTTAAAATTGTGTTGTCCAACTCTTTGGTAGTCTTTGCTGTTCAGTTACTAAACTATGGATTAAATTATCCAATAAGCATTTGATTTTTTGCATTTTATATTTTTTATCAATTATTTGCACACTTAGCACAATGTTATACTACTAGCACAAAATCTGAATATCATATATTTCTGGTGAATTATAACTTAATGTTCATACATCATTCCTCATTATTTCCAGCAATGTTTATGCTTAATATAAATCTGTCTGTCATAAAGAGGCACAGCACCTGTTTATTTTTTTTCCTAGTTTGCCTATATGCTTCTGTATTTTTTTATACTCTAAGTATGCATTTTAAACAGCATGTTGTTCCACTTTAATTTTAAGCACTTTTTATAGCATTTGACTTTTCACATTTAAACTACTTTTATTTAATGTAATTATAGCCTGTATTAAAGTTTTTCTAAATTTAATATTTGGTCTTTTCTTCATTCTTTTATTTTTCCATTCTTACATGCTTAATGGTTTCATCATTTTTATTGTTTTTCCTTTTTTCATCTATTACTCTTATTTGTAAATTCTATCACAAGCCAGTGACTTGGAAAGTCTTCAGCTATCTAGCTATTCATAAGATATTAAAGGCAAAGAACTGTTTACCTGATCCCAGAATTTACTGTCAGTAAGAATCATAAGATTGTGGTTAAATTGCATAGAAACAGACATTCTGTATTTATAAAAGCATAGCATGCTCTTAATGCCATCATAGGCATTACTAATAAAATGCTTTCTAAGTCCTTTAAGATTTCAGTGTGTTAAAATTGGCTGTAGACATGGAGTCATTTTCATTAGATGCTAATCACTGACATCTATGCAGGGACAGAAAGATTATGCACACAACTCACACAATAGCCCATATTGCTAGCCTTTGATTTTTAGCTTTCATCTCTGCATTTATTTTATTACATAACATATATATTATGGGGTATATTATTTTATATATATTTTCAAATACATAACTTTAATACTTATACACATATTGTATATATATATATATATGTCATTCTTAAATATATACTTCCAAATATAAATAATTTCACATCAAGCTAAACAGGATAAAAACATGTAAACATATGCACTTGGTTTTGGTCAAGTAAAACACGAAATCACAAAGTAACCACAAGTTAACAAGTGCACTTGAAGAGGAAAGAGGGAAAAAACAGACATGTAAACAAGACAGCAGCTGCAAGGCCCTGCAAGGGTCCATTTTTTAAGGCTATTGTGGCAAAAAGCTCCTAATTCAATAAGACTTCTCTTTTCACACTGTCACAATTATTCTTGAGGGACTTCACAATGAGTAGAAATTCTGTAAACACTACACTATAACTGAGTGAATACTGTTGGAAACAGACATAACAAAACAAACCATCAACTGACAGAAATATTCATTTCACCAAACAATAACTGTAAGGACATTTTGTTACTTTTTTTAACACAGAAAACATCATAATCCTTGTGGGGAGAAATAGGGAATAGACAAGAAAACAGAGAAACACTGCATAAAGATTGCCTCAATAGCCCCTGAAAGCAATAGGCATGTCAATCAATAAAGGGAGAACAGGCAGCAGAACAGCAGATGACAGAGCCTCAGCAGACTAGACCATGTGCCACAGCATGATACTACAGATTAAAATTGAAATATTCTTCCAGCTGATAATAAAGCCAAGCCCACTGATCATCAGAGAAAGGAAAACCAACTCTCATTGCAAGAAACCGCTTAAACAACAGATTGGCCAGCCAACGTATGACAAGCTCCTTTTTACTGCTTTTAAAGAGCATGTTGCTCTCTGACACCCGCACAGGCTCCAAAACTTGATGCCAGTATATGCCGGATGGGCCACCACCTCGCCTATGATGGCCCCAGTGGTATGTATGCTTGTAAAAACAGTTCTCTCCAAATGGGCAGTAACCCCTGCCATGAGCAAAATATCTGCAGTCCTTCTTTCTCATTCCCTCCTTGTATTGCTGAATAAGTTTCTCCTTCTCTTCCTCATCCTCCACCCAGAACTCACTGGGAGTGACAAAGCTGGAGGGCACCCTGCACTGTGGGCAGGACTTACTGATTCTGTTCTCAAACTGTCTGACACTTCTCCACCTGCGGATACATTGAATACAGAAGGTGTGGTTGCAGTTGTAAAGGATGCCAAAGCGGCGGTCGCAGGGGTTGGCTTTCTCATAGACAACCTCCATGCAGATGCCACACACTTTGTCCATGCTGCGCTGCACAGCAAACGAGAGCTCCATATCTCTCTCGTGTGCTTCCATGCAGGCACTTATATGAGCTTCCCGCTGAGCAGCATCCACGGGGTGTAAGGCCTGCAGCCCACACATGTCGCATATATCTCCGTGGAGGTAAAAACAGCTCTCCCCATTAATGCATCGTCCCCTGGCAGCATAGCGGCAAAGCTGCATCCCCATGCCCACAGCCATCTGCTCTCTCTCAGGCACCGGCCTCTGTAGAGGAGCCTCGGGACCATACGGTGGGACCATGCGGCCTCGGTAGGGCTGCCCGGGAACAAACTCAATGGCACCCTCCCAGCCTTGTGCACCTGCTCCTCCGGCAGCTTCAAGGCCTGCATTGTCTGTCTCAGCTTCAAAGAAACCCCTTTCAGCAGCCCAGCCAATCAGAGGCAAGGAGCTTGAGGATGCAGCAGGAGGGGCTTCCGCCACTTCCTGAGTCGGGGGCTCGCTCTGCGCAGCCGTACTAGGTCCTCTGTCTGCAGAGGCCTCAGGCGGCGAAACGTGGCCCTCCCTGGCCATCTGCCGCACAGAGGGGTCGTGGGAGTAGCGGCAGTTCTCCCCCTCTTTGCATTGCCCATGCAGATAATACCTGCAGACGATTTGCTTTCTCCAGTCGCCACTGTTCGGTTCCGGAAGAGGGTTGGGGTTGGCCCCGCCCCCTGCGGCCTGGGCGTGCCCCACAGCCTCTGTGCCGGGGTGAGCTGGGCCAGGAGCCACAGGGAATGAGGCCAGGCCCGAAGGCACGTCGAGAGGATTTACACCTAAAGTTGCAGACTCTCCAGAGACCTCAAACCCGGGGAGGCCCGGCCCAGACACACCCTCCCCCGCTGCCTCGGCACCTGCCTCGGCCCCATCTGCCTCGCAAGTTTCAAAGGGAGCTGCAGCCTCTTCCATAGCACCTTCTTGTCCCCAAAAAGGCTCCAGAATGTCTCTAGTTGTTTTAGGTTTAAAATTTGAAGCCGGGAGCTCCGATCGAGCACGGTGGCTTCTCTAGAAGAAGTGTTCACTTTTTTTCCTTCCCCCCTGAAACCTGGTCCCTGTGAACTTTGGTTCCTACTGCTTGTTCTGTAGGAAGTGTGTAGGACACTTCCTGTGGTGACACCACTTGCATGCTATTGGCTCTGCATTGTGGATCTCCAAGCTGACATTTTTCTTTTTGTTCTTGTGAGCTGGAGCGGCTACAGCCCCCTTTGTATGGCGTTTGCCACTCCTCCGGCTTTGTTCAGGCAGACCCTAATCCCCCCATTCATCACCGTTTTCTCCGGAGAATGAGGTTTTAATTAAATGTTTTCAAGTATCCATTGTGCACATTTTATTTGATTATTTTTCCATTTGTTACAAAAAAATCATAATCATTGCTTTCTCCCTTTGTTCCTGAAGCATTTCATTCACAAATACTATAAATTTATTTGTTTGTTCACGCCATTTTATGTCTGTGGCTTTACTTATTGTATTTTATTATTTAATTATTTACTCCGTGACTCTCCAGTGTTAGAAGCTTTTTCTTGTTTTGTTCTGTTGACAAGAGAGCATTCCTTTTGGTCTTTATTATTATTATTTTTTAACTTCAGGGGCTTTCATTGTGGATACGCTTTTCACTAGCAAGGCATTGTCAGCAGGGAGCCGTTCTCATTCGAGGCTTGTCAGTGCTTGTCAGATGTCTTCCTTTGTTATAGTTCTTAACTCTCGCTTCCCCCAAAGTGTAGAAGCCGTAAATTTGTCCCGTCTTAACGCTGTCTTAATAAACCACTCTGCCCTGTGGGACCCAGGCTTTTTGTTTTTCCTGTTGATTTAATTCATGATGGTCCATTGTTCCCCTTCCTTTCATCTATGTCCATACTCTATTGCTGCAGTGCAGCATCTCATAATGTATTCTTTTGCCATACTCTCACAAGTGTTAATTTTTAATTTCCATGAGAGAGCATTCTTTTGTTGTTTTAGGTATATTTTATTAGATTAATAATTTCCATGTGTATTTTTAAATTTATAAGAATACTTTTGATGATATCTGAAGTTTTAACCTGTAATTTTCAGCATTTTGGGGAGAGTGAATTATTTTCTCTCCCCTCATTTTCTTTGCATGATTATTTGAACTTTAAAGTCTCAAATATTTAACTTACTAATTATTTCCTAAGATAAAACCTTATGTGTTGTTATGTCACCACTTTAAATATTATTGGATCTTGTTTGCTAAAACATGTACCTTATAGGGATTTATAACCTGAATTTACATTTAAGAGTGGACAGAAGTTTAAATATTTATTATATACTCTTTTAGGTCAATGTATTAAGTCCTAATTAAAGAAATTTAAAAAAAAAATCATAAGCAAAGAAAGCAGAGAGTAGCAAATAATAAATATAGAAAAGCAATGAATTAAGAACAATAAGCATAAAATGAGGGGGCTAAGTCAAGTAAAATTCTTTGAAAGGATTTTTTGAAACTCATAAATTTCTGGTGCAACTTATCAGGGTAAAATGAAGAAGGCTTAAATAACCAAGACTGACAAAGCTCTGTAATTTTAAAAGTATTATCACTAATTAATAACAAATACTAAAAACCGCAAGACAATATCAGGAACAAGTTTGACAATTAAACTTTAAAGTTGAAGTAGTCATACACCTATAAACAAATCTATTAATAAAAATGTCAGGGGCAAAAAAAGAATTATAAGGTCTATTATGTCAATTTAATATGCAATTAAAATTATTCTGCAAGTAAAGCTTATACAGCTTTCTCTCTTACATAAATATAAAGGCAGAAAAGCCTTTATTTATATTCTAAGTCATGGCTAACACATTAGGACAAGCAAAGGAATAAAAGACATTAGAATTGTAAAGAAATTATTGGTGGAAAGCATCAGAAAATTGAGAATAATTTCAAGGTAATAATGCTGCATTTAGTAAGCATACTTAAAAGGACATTGGACAGGAATGCAATGAAATATTAGTGCTCTCTCTGTCTCTCTCTTTATCTCTCTCCATTCTGTATAAGAAATAAATTGGACATTTAACTTAAAAGCATTTTGACAGCATTGAAAGTTAACTATCTGAGGGATTAAAATAGTTAGTACTGTACACAAGAGCTCGTGTGTACCAATTTCTCCACAGATTCACAAACACAAGAATTCTGAATATGTATAGATATATATTATCTGTTTAATGTTTAATGTTATATTCCCAGACCTATGTCTAAGTCATGTTGGATCCTCTTTATATATATAGGTCTGGGAATATATCTATATATATATATATATATATATATATATCTTTGTGCAGTAGAATTCTCTGTGATTAATTTATATATGAACCATTCAGTATAATATCCATGACCTCTTATGGCTACTGAGAAATTGAAATGTGGCTAGAACAACTGAGGATTTGAATTTTTATTTTTTAATTAAAAATTTAATAGCCACCTGTGACTGTTTGCAACAAGATTGAACACCGAAGTTCAATATAGTATTTGACCATCACAAGCCCTCAAACATAGGAATCTGAGAAATAGAATGTTTTCTAACCTGCTCAATGAAATACACCTAGGATGAGCAATATCTGCTTTCACATCTTCACTCTATGGCTCCCAATTATGTTGATGTCCTACCATCTCATGTTTTTTGTATCTCCTAGTTTTATTTTGGCAATATTTCATATGTAGTATTATAAATATAATCAAACCCCAATATTTAAATATATGAGACCAAATAACTAAATATATTGGGTAGTGCATCTTGTGAGAAATAAGCAAATATTTCCCATCTTAGACAAAGTGCTATCCTTAGAGAATTTTCTGTGACTACCTTTGTCCATATTCATACTCTTTATTTATGATAAACATTCATGTTTTCACATGTTTTGTGGGGGAGCACATTTGTGACATTTCTTTAGTTATTTATTTCAAAAAGCCTTCTTCCCTCAGAAAAAACCTGAGATTCCTCAGGGACTGGAACTTGGCTGATGAGCCACTTAGATAGTCAGCATTTGGGGTTCCACAAGCAATAAGGGTAAGCAAAGCTCCTACTGAAGGCTCTGCTAAAGCACTCACATTACCAGGACATGTAATAAAAACGGGGAAAGTGATTTACAGCTTTGCAGAGTGGAGGCATGGTCCACACAGTTTAACAATACCTCAGGAGGTGGTAGGCTAGTTCAGAAGTAAACTATAGGGATGGGATATAAAAAATCCAGATGGTTCTTCAGTCTTTCCCTACAAATAGCTCACGCTGCCTCCACATAATTAATATGTCCAAATTGAAAAAACAGGTAATGATCTCTAAGCAATTTCCCACAGAGCACAGACAGATGCTGAAGAACAAAGGTTTAGGCACTGTGGGAAGGGGTAGAGTTGGAGGAGAGATTAAATTCAAGTGGACAGAATTAAACATTATGGTTTCATATTCTTTATTCTCCTCCACTCACTAACTGGGATTCCTCCCTTGCATAAATTAATTATGTTCTTTTACCTCATCTAGCAAACAACATGAATAATAGCAGTAATAGTGATAATTACTGGTTCACAAGTTTGCTGTCAATATTAAATGAGATAATTCTAATAAAATAAATGGAATAATATCTGTTACCAGATTCAATATATGAGATATCTATAAGTGTCTTTGCTATTTTGGAGTTAATCAAAGAACCCTGAAACTTGTTTTTATTCTTGATAAGTGAAACTTATTGCTATCTGCCTAGGGGGTCCCTGGAATTTCCTGGAACATGAGAAGCAGAAATTAATGCTTATTGTCTAATATTGATGACCAAACTGATTGTTATTTTGAAATTTAAAGAGCAAATTGTTTCTGCTTCTAATTCAGAAGATCAGATGTAGTTTATTTGTACAGTATTTTTTGTTTCCTCATTATTGTGATTATTACATCCTATTATGATATTATTGTGTTCTATTATGACAGAATAGATATCCTTAGCTCATCATGGGAGAGGGTATCCTGTGGGTTTTTTAAGGAATCTGCATCTGGTCCCCCTAATTTTATACAATAAAATTATTTTAAAATGTTTTAGTTTCAATATGAATATAAAATAAAGATACAAATAATTCCACAGCTACTCATATATTTATTTTATTTAATATAATAAAAGTAGCATGATTGTAAAAATTATACTGGCTTATCTATTATAATCAAATGATGAAAGTGTCAATAAGTCTTCTGGAGGATTTCTGTGTCAAAATTCAGCTACATTTCTGCATTGTTGTAGTTAACAGAAGTTTGTCATAATCAAATTGATAACACAAAACATATTTAAATTTTAATTTATAGCCAAATGAAATAGCTTCTATCAGACTAATATTTCCATCTATAGTATTTATAGAAACTGTATGAATCCAAAAAGTAACTGTTTAAAGTACTTATAAAACATATATTGTAATAAATTCTTAAGGGGTAAAATTTAGAAGAGTATTAACCTAAATAGCCTAAAGGCAATAGAAGAAAGCACAAAGAATATAAATACTTTCAACTGCATGACAATAAATAGGTCACATACTAAAACATTTATTATGCACTGAAAGCTCTGCTTAGAGACAAAATTTTAATATGATAAAATATTCATAAGAATGAAAAAAAAATCCATCTCCCCAAAGTAGAAAAAAAACAAACAACAAAAAGACAGGGTGGGAGGAATGTCAAATAATAATTTTGAATTCATCTTTCTTTCTTTCCCTATAAGAAGAGTTCCTGAGGGGCATTGTCAGATATAAAAACCTGTGCCACCTGTAATCTTATACAGATGTGCTGGGCCACAGAGGAAAAAAGTCAGTTAACCTGAGTTTTGGGTCCTTAGACATAGAGTGCATATCATTTCATAAAAGAAACAAAAATATTCTTGTCATTTTCCATGTTCCTTTTCTTTTCAAAATTATTTAGGCATTAACTGAAGAG